ATCCCAATAGAAGTGCAGTGTCTGACATAGGGATTTAAGAAAAACGGGTTGAGTTTGATGTATCTGACCTTTTAACAGGCAGTACCATTTCTTAAAGACCATGGGTGACACTTACTCCGCGGGCTCTCTTGCAGTGTGTCCTGTTTGAGCAGCCTGTGGCACAGCAGGAAATAATGAACTCACTTCTGAGACGCTGCCTGTAAAACCTTGAACTGTCTGTTCTTGTCACTTGTCAGCTCTGTGTTACAGGGAGGCTCAGAATGAATGTTTAGGGGGAAAAGGGAGGAAAGTACCACATCCCGAGACTGGGACTTGATCTGATTTCTAAAATAAAGAACAAAAAGTCCAATTACATCAAGGTTGCCTGCCGGGGCGGTGCAACACACTGTGCTTAGCTGATGGGGTTGGTGATTTGGAACGCTTCCCGGCCGGCATCCCTGGGCTGGGATTCCAGCAGTTGGGAGAAGTGAGCTACTTACTTTGGCAGTTGATCCGAGAACTTGGGTTGACACTGGCAGCACAAAGGCCTGTTCCTGTGCTTGCTGGGGAGACGGTACATTGCTTTGTGTATAGTTATAAAGGCCAGTATGGTTTGATTAGTTGAAGCTGGTAACTTGGCTTTGCCTTGCTGGAATCCTAAGTGGTTTTCCAGTAAACTTAAGCACGATGACATCAGCAGAGCAAGGAGGAACAGTCTGCAGATATCAATCTTCCTTATGCTGGTCTGTGTAAGCTGCAGCCCATGTGGTGCTGGAGATAAACGTTTGCAAAGCCCGTCTGCCAGGAAACCTGTAAGAAATTGCAGTCTATGACCAAGGAGCTTTATTCCTTGCAAGACTTGATGGGGTCATAGTTGGCCAGCGATGGTGTTGTCAGCCTGAGTGGGAAGATAACCCGAACGGACCCAAAGTTTGTTTTATTTTTCTGCTCTGGTCCATAGGGAAGGCTAAGAAAGAGCAGATTTTGTTCAGATTGAATCGTCTTTGCAGCTCCTGTAGTTCCTTGTGGTCATCCAGGACACCTGAGAATTTGTTCAAAGCACCCATATCAATGCCTCCTGTTAGCTCAGATGTCTCACTTGCTGAAGTATCTATTTGACTAACGAGGGGAATGTTTGGCATTACTCTGAAAACTGACAATCCTTGAATGAGCATAAGCTGTAGCTAACCTGGAATAACTGCTGGATTCTGGCTTTGCTGCGGGCTGTTACAAGCGCAGGCACGGCGTGTGCAGACAGACTTCACCCTTTCCTCCGCTCCCCAGAACAGCTCTTAGTAGGTGGGAGAGACGGTGGCTCCGGCCACCCTTCCTGCCCCTGTTTCTGTCACACTGAAACTCCGCCACTTCGATAAGGCTGGGGGGTTTGATTTCTGCTTCTGTTTCTGCCTCCTCTGCCTGGAAAGGGCAAATGGGGTCAGCTTAATCTCCTTTTGTGCTGTGATTTGCTAACTATGCCATAAATTCATAGGAGTCTTCGCTTAGCAGAAGATAGAGGCTCTTGTGGTTTAGTTTCCACATGCTCATTAGACAGTTCTCCACCCAAGTGGTCTTAGGGAAGAGCTAATTGCAGTGCTGTTCTCACCTGGGCAGCTCTGTGTGAACAAAGGCAACTTCAAATGTTGGAGCAATTACTGAAAATAACAGAGAAGATTTCCAGGTGCATTCTATGTGTTCTGGGGCAGTGTCTCCTTAAAAATAAAGCACTTTCTAGGGCTTTTGAGCGCTTGAGTTTGACTTCAACCCCTGTAGTATCTCTGTCCATAAAGGCTAACTAAGGGAATGCCCTGCTCCCTGCTGCTGTAGCCAGTCACCAGCAGCACCAGCCTCTTCCTCTGGCGTGGTCAGGTGTGTCCATGTGAATCTAGTGCTGTGGAGCCTGCACTTCCCCCGGAGGCTAGTTTTGACACATTACATATAGGTTTTCACTGTTGTATTGCAGAATCTGATTGACACAGGTAACTATTTCTGGAATGCTTTGGGAGGTTTGGAGCTCTGTAAGATGGAGAACTTGTTAAAATGGGTTCTGGATGCTTTGGAAACGGCCTTGGTTTTTGACAGTTGTGGCTTGTTTGCATTGTCCCCCTAACTGGAGAGAGAACCTAAACTGTGGCAATTTCTTTGTTTGTTTTTTGCTCTTTGCAAGGTGTGGGAGTTGTGTGCAGAGGAGTGGCCTCTGGGAAGTCAGCAGGACACCCTGGCCAAGGCTGATTCCCAGCCAGCCCTGCTCTCCTGAGCGTGGCTGCAGTTTGGATTCCGGGTTAGCAGGTCACTGTAGGCTCCTGGAGAGATGTCCAAGCAGCAGCTCACTGTGCCACAAACCAGAGCTTTAATTTATAGCGGTAGGATTTTGGCACCTGTAACTTGCATCCCCACAACAAGGCAGGTGCTGAAAAACAGGCCTGGAAGAGCGAATTGCAGAACAGTGAGATGAGTGTCTGGCCAACCTGGAAAGCTGAAGAGCTCCAGCAGGAACAGTATCTGTCATCAGTGAGGCAAGAGTCACCTGGATCCGTGCCTTCCTTCTTCCAAGGAGGGAATGGAGACACGTTTGGGTGTGTTAAGGGCAGGTGGACACTTTCCTGCCGCCTGCTGCAGGCCTAAGCCCAAGGTCTGTGTCGGCGCTCGCGTCCTGCGGGAGGGCAGCGACAAGAGAAGGTCCTTGCGGGCTCACGAGCTGCCCCTGGTTGTGCTGCCTCGCTGAGCGCGCGGGACCGTCCCTGCGCGCTGGAGCTGGGTGACCGTCACGAGCGCCTGCGCTGGGGGCCGCTCCGCCGCCGCCTCAGATGTTATCTCAGCACAGGAATAAGCAGCCTTTGCCGCATGCCTTTGTAGGGAAAAAAAAGCCTGTCTAAATGGCAGTGGGTTTGTAGCAGCCTGGGCTCGGCACATTTGGGGCTTCTGTTATTTCAGAACTTTCTTGTAATTTACTGCAGTAGCTGCTCTGTTGCCAAGGAGGGCTGCACGGGACGCATGGAGCATTTGTTGGAGGCTGACGTCGCTCAGAGCCATGCGCTGACTTTGGAGGGACACAGATGACCCCCAGATGTCCTGGTGAAACGTGTGCATGTGACAGGAACATTCCTGCCCCTCAGCTGCCCTCCTTAATCTCCCGATGCTGCGAATATTAAACTGGCGGGTGGTGCCCGATGGAAGCGGCAGAGGCTCTGGGTGCAGCTGCAGGTCTCCGTCATCTGCAGCTCTCTAACCTGTGGTGCCTATTGGAAGGTCTGGCTCTACAGGACAGTTTCTTTCCTTCATGAGGGGCCGATCAAGCCTGTTTTGGAGGGCTCCAGAGCTGGGGCTTTGCAGTGAGGAAGGTGGAGGGCGGATGAAGCTGTTTATCTAAAACATCTCTTGCCACACAGTTGCACTGAGCACCCAGCAGCCCTCTGAGCTGCTCTCAGTACTCGTCGTGTGGCTCTTCCAAAAGAACAGCTGGTTATTTCTTTGGGTGCCTAATTATTAGTTAAGCTTGCAGATAACGATTAAAAAAATGTTTAAAAGTTAAGCAGTTGGTCTGCAACAGGGTCCCAATGCAACAGGGTCCAAGAGCAGAAATGCTGAAGCTTGACTTGCTCTAATGGCAGCACAGCCTGCAAGCTACGGACGTTTCCCTGTGCTCCCTCATCTCTGAGATGCTGCTGTTGTTGACAAAGTATTTATCTAAATAGAAAAGCGAGCACCAGAGGAGTAACTTTCACAGTGCTGCCTTGGAGCACGTACTTGTGAGCAATGTGTCAGTCTCATTTTCTCTCGTTTTCCCCAGGTTTCATCGACGTGTCCACGCGGCACTTTCCACCGACGTGTTTCTAACAAATGATTCTGTGAAGTCACACAGGAGCCTTGATGCTGACGGCTGGAGCTGGCAGTCCTGTCAGTGATGGGACAGCCTGGGAGATTATTTGGTGACAGTGCTATTTGTGCATGCTGAAGAGGCTATAAATAAGGTGGAGGAAAATTGCAGTTGTAGATAAAAGCTGAGTGCTGAACTCAGCTCTGACAGCTGCAGCCCCAAGGCTAGAGCCGAGCTCCACTTGCCTCCAACACTACCATAGTAGGAAGCAGCAGCAGGAAAATCTCTCAATCCTATGTATTAACGTAGCCTCAGCTCTCTAGCATCGTGAAGGAAAGCAGAAATGATGGAATTTTACTGCAGTGTTTTTAAGCTTCATGCTGGTTCAAAGCCTCTCCAGTGCTTCACCTAATTTGGGTAACAGCATTTACCAGCAGTGGAGTAAACCGGGAGCTGAAGTTGAAAGGCATTACATTTAATGTAAAGTTTGTTCGAAACAGGGGCTGAAGTCGCATATTCGGAGAAGGTCTCCTTGCAGCAGCCCTCATCTTAGTCCAAACTAAAGTCAGTTTAGGAGCAGACGGTTACGTAATGATGCTGGAGGAGAACTTAGCTTTCATGTTTGCAGTGTTCCTGTCTGGCAACATTGAACGAGGACTCTTCCTCCACGAACTCACTGCTAGAGCTGCACTGCTGGAGAGTACATGATGGTGGAATAAGAGGCATTTTGATCAACAGCACTTACGGCATGCACTTCATAGCGAATATAATCGTTAACCTTTTTGCCTGTGAACCAAGGAGGAGACTGCAGGTATGTAAGGCTGCAACAATTTAAAAAAGAGGACAAAAAATAAAGATGTAGTTGGGAAAAATGTTTATTTTAAGTTTCTCAGAGGGATTTTACAAACAATGAAGCATTAAAAAAAAATTGAGTGATCAAAGTACTTGACAGTGTCCCTTAAACACACACACACGCCCCTGGACAGAGGAAAAAAAAGATAAAAAGAAAAAGGGAAAACAAAGTCACACCAGCGAGGAGGTCAATACTGCCGGAAGAGCAGCTGGCATCTGCATAGTTCTAGTAGGAAAGATTGCAATGCTCTTGGTGCTAAGTTAAGTGTCATCCTGGCCTTAATATAAGATAGCCTTGAAGAATGTACATATGTACCTGCAGAAAACAAAGTGCATAAAATAACACGCAAAGTACGTATTGTAGAATAAATTTATTTACCCGATACAAATGAAACTAGGTGTGATGCTTGTTACTGTCAGCATGTAAAGAGACAATCGATCTTATTTACAGCTTCTAAAGGTCACACATGCAGTTGTGGCAACTGGCTAAGTTGGTTGTTGCGTTTTAGATAAATGCATCACAACATTTTGTATTGCACCAACATCTGTCTTACTGCCTTAAATTTAAATAAGTTACATTACAGTGCAAAATAGATTGATTTGCACACATGATAAAAAATCTGAAGTTATGAACTGGAGGTTTACAGTTTAACATTCAACATTTGTAATTTTTTTCAATGAATTTTATAAATAGGATAGCATTGTACATAAGCTGTAATATAGAAGTATGTTTGGATGATACAATACAGAGAAAGATTTGTCTACAACTGAAGGCATGCATTATTTCAATATTGTACATTTTATAAACTTGACATTTTACATACAGAAATATGGAAAATTGGCTGACAGCTCCGCAATTCTTGTTCAAGGATAAACTCTTCTCCATGCAGCAAAGAAACCAAACTTCTCTGGAGAGAGTTCCCAATTCCGCAAGCTATATTGCACATCTGTACATCTGTATAATGAAGTCCTAATGGTACCACACATTTCTTCCACAGAGAACACAATGAGTTTTGTTTTAGGGAAAGCAAAGAACTTTTATACATGATACATGCAGAAGTTTTGGTAGATGTGTTGCTAAAAACACATGCACGCAACAAAACAACCTTACATTTCTGCAAAATTGTTTAGGAAGCGATTACTCCAGTATTGCTGAAAAGGAAAGAAAGAAAAGGCATCAGTTAATGAAAGGATGAATGCTAAGTATCATTATAAAAGCAAGACTAAGAACAACAGTGACAGAAGAAAGAATGTTAAGTTTGATAACCGACTGTTCTGTCATTGAAGGGACACTCTCAGGTTACTTTATTTTTGAAGCCTAAACCGCTCTGAATGAAGTCTCAGCAGAGCTCTCTAAGATCAGCAATGCCAGCATTTCCTATGAAACTCCACAGCTAGGAAAAAACTAATGTAAGTTTAGATAGTGGCAATGGACAAATCTTAATTTTAATTTTTACTTTACCACAAAGTTTGCGCTACACTTAAAAGCTTTTTCTAACCAAGGCAGTATATTGTGAATTTGGCCCTAAAGTGACCTAAAAATGTCCCCTTTTCCAAGTTATGCAGCTCATTCTGGGAAGCAATAGGAAAGCTTTGAAGACGTCATTAAACTACACAGATTAATGCATAGGCAAAGGGCAGAGTACAACACGGTAAAACTATTACTGCAGCATAAGGTTAGCCTTGCGTTTAGGAGAGAACAGTGTACTCCAATTGCCTAGAACTTGGTGTTGGCTCTTCACAACACTGCTTCAACACTATAAATTTAGGCTCTCCTGCTAGGATTTGAGAATGCATAATATTAATGTAATTAAAGATGTAATTAGCAGAGATTAGGGAAACAATTAATGGTTAGAAGTGCAAAAAAGTAAACAAGACAGGTGCAAGAGACAGACAACTTTATCAGTTTTACCTCCCTTCATCTCAGCAAATTCAACCATCTTTCCTGTTTAAGCTGTTTACCATTTAGTCTATGCATCAGCTGTGCTCTTGGAACAGTGACAGGACTGCTGTACTGCATTTTATCATCAGATTAAAAACTCATTTTCTTACCATTAGCCTTCTCCACAACCATTTCCTTACAAACATTAGCCTTGCAGCACTTTGACAGAATGCTATGTGGGTTTTTTTGCAGCATCTTTCATACTCTGTTTCCCAAAGTATTATTTTAAATCATTATGAACTACTTTCAAGAGCCTGGATGCAGGCAAGAGCAGCTTGTTGTGCATCTTACAATGCTACTTTGACTTGATCACATTTGAGAGAAGAGAGGGCCTAGGGCACTGGGAAGATAGAAGCCCTTGTCTCAATGTTTCTGACTGCAATTGCCTGACCATTTCTTTGCTCCGATTTGGACCAGCCCCCAGAGCAGTTAGTTCAGGAGGACTCTGCTGTCAGACCAAAACTCACTCTTCTCCATGAGAACAGCTCACACAGCTGATATCAATCTCCTTTTCCTCTCTCCCTAGAGCCTAAGTAGCAGGATGTTAAGACTACTAATGAATCCAGAAAAGAGCAGATAGAAAAGCTCACTGAAATGACAGCAAAAGGAAACAAAAGACTTATTTTCTAAGAAATGAGTGTAGCAGATGAATCTGGTTAGCTTTGAGTTGCTGCTATTTAGTAAGTGCTGGTGTTATTATGTCCATAGGACAAACACATTAGATTCCTCTGAGTGAATGTATTGTAGTATCTACTCATTTCCCTCCCGTAAGCAGCTGAAGTTCCTTTCTGCAAGTTTCATTTTTATCTCCAGCCAACTCTGGTACTGTGGGGAAGCTGGAGAACAACTATGTAGGGAAGATGAAAATTGCTAAGTGAGAGCTTCAACTTCAAGATTGGCAAAGAAGTTTAGATTGAAAAGTCATCTCTTTATGACTTCTCTAGATAGTACCAATAGCTAAAAAAGGGGTAGCATTTACAAATTCAAAATAAGCATTTTAGTTAAGGAAAGCATGGGTTAACAGTGCCTGCCCAGTCTTGCACTGTATTTCTAGTTTAAGAAGCCTGCTTGCTATTTGGGCAACAGCGCTGCCCTCGAGCAGCCTCCCACAGCCCGAGGCTGGATCCTCGGCGCTCCAGCTCCGGGAACAAGAGCTCCCAGCTGTCTGGGGACACGTTGCTGGACTGACCCCGCAGGAAGCTGCTGGCAGGTCTCAACATTTGGCCAGTCCAGAACACATTCAATTGACATTTATCTTGTAGTGGCAATATTTGGAAAAACAGAAGTACTTGAGGTAGAGCGACAGTAAGTACTGGTCATACAGGACTTTTGGTCCAATTCAACACAAAAAATGTGGACAGCAAGACTCGTAGAAATATAAGGAAAAAAGTAATGTCTATATATCTGATTTCTTGGGCTCCTGAGGAGCATTCTTTAAGACCAGGCTCTTGAAGTTACAGAAGCAGCAGGTAAGGATACCACTCCACATACCCGGTCATCTAACTTTGAAAGTTAAAACTTCATGAAAGAGAACACCCTAATGCAGTACCCTAAGAAGTCTTAGGCAAGCAAGCTCTCAGATGTCAGTACTTAAAACCATTTGCACTTAAAATTGCATGATTTATCTTCAACATGTAGATCCGAGTGTGCTGGGCAGATCCTGCAATTTGCATGGTGACGTAAACAGTCTAAAGGAATACTCAGAACTGCTGCTCTGAGACTGAGTAGCAGCCACCATCCTAGAAAGGTTTGACCACAAAGTTGGCGCACACAGAACTGGCTCTCATATTCAAATCCACCAAGTGGTAATAATGCACTTGTACTCATTTTGTTCCTGGGGAATCCTAAATCCTACGACATACTCGTTTCATTTCAAGAAACAGTCTCATACTGCTTATTTATTACTGATGTAGCATCAGACTGATGCAGGCCATGGGTTTTATGGTCTATAAAACCTCTGGTTTGGCAAAGAAGAAGGTTCTTCAGGCTAAATGGGGCATTCAGCAGGGACTAAATGCCTATAGTTCTGCAACATGCATCACATCATTAAGTCCAGCTACTCTGAGTCACTTCAGCATTGACAAACAGATCAACTAAACGCCAACTTTGCCAGTGAAGTATCTAAATAAATACAGAGCGTTTGCCACATAGTAGAATTTCAAATAGAGCTAGTGTATTTTGAGGTTAGCACCTATATTTAAAAGCTTGAAACCTACAGAATTATCTGTGCTCACTGAATTCCAACTGACACCAGCAGAACATACCACTTAACTATCATTTTCCTCTATGAGGAATCAAAAAGCCTTTGGAATCTGGTTATTAAAAGCAGATTTAGAGTCAATGCGGGATAAGACATACCGACTCCAGTACAATTTTACAAGGACTAGCCTTGTTAAGCCAAGCCTGTTCTTTTGTGTTTTCATATGACTACTATACAAAGCGTTTCCATTCACTGGAACCAGTAGGTTGCTTTGCCCAAAGGAGCACATGCATTTTGAGCAAAGCAGATACCAGAACACATCAGAGAAAGGCAGTCTGCTCAGAGAGGCATCCCACAGTTCAAAGCAGGGGAAAAAAAAGGAATAAATCAACACCTGACCACCAGTACCAGAATGGTTTAGATACCAGACATTTACATGAACAGCTGTCACTGTCTTAAGTTACATCTTGGTCCAATTTTATCTCAAACTTAAGACTGAAAACTGTGAGATCTTAGGGCACTAAAGCTCCAGAGTGCTATAAAGAATGACTTAAAATACACTATAATAATAGCAAGCATTTTACCTTCAGAATCAGTAATTTCTTCACACCACAAAACAGAGAGTCTAAAGTGGTGATAATAATGTAGCACAGCAGAGTTTGACAAAACACAGCATGGGAATGAAGGAAATTACTATTTATTCTTTGACATGTATACAGCATATGCTATTTTACAGCAAGTCACCACTGGCATGGTGAAATGGAAGAAAAATACTCACTTTAGTCGATGAAAGTTGGAAGGCATTGGAGAAAAACACCACAGTTAGGACTGTTAATGACTTACACATTGTTGATACAGGACTGAATTTGAAAACATGCTTTAACATTTATCATAATAATGAAGGTGGTTAGTGCCACATTAAAATAAAAATAGTTCTATACAATATGTTCAATTTGGTCATGTGCTATTTACAGATTTTACAAAACACACACACGAGCTTGTTACTTCAAGTCAGGCTAACAACAGGCCAGCAGAGTAACTCCATGTATACAACTGATCATTAGTGCCCTAAGTGTAGGAAATCCAATCGCAAACAATGCAGTGCAAGGTATTTTTCCAGGTCTGATTACAAAAGTTTTGATCTTAAGGGGGAAAAGAAAAGAAAAAGTAAAGAAAAAGAAAAGAAAAGGAAAAAAAAAAAAAAAAAAGGTATCTGAGGCATGTAAATAAGGTATTAAAACTTAAATCCTCTTTTGGAATTCAAATAGGTTGTGTTGGTTAAAAAGGCTTGTTTTTGATTTAAGTAGACTGAAGTAGCTCTCCCTATCCCTGCATAATGGGCAACACTGGCAAAACAAGGTCTGTTACAATAAAATACAATAGACACTTAAATAAATAATCTTTAAAAAAAAAAAACTATGCATGTTGAGAGTATGGAAGAACCCAGCAGGCTGCACCTGGAATGGTATTTTCTGCACGAGCAGGATTAGGCATACCTCATACAGAAACTGGTGTAAACAAGGACAGTCAAGAACCAGAGGGAGCAGGAAGAGGGGCAAACCGAGAAGAAATCCTGACCGAGGTAGCACTACTCTCTACCCAGTGCAGAAACTTCAGCTTATGAGTAAAACCTGACTGTATGACAAATTAAGTTTGGATGATCATGCAGAAGACAAACAGTTACATGCTTTTTTAGTTTTAGACAACACACATTCATTCCCTAAAATCTGCTGCCAATTTAGTTTGATAGTGTCCGCTGGCTCAAAAAATTTTTTTTTTTTACAAGATGAATAGACTATTGAACAGAACACTGTACATGCTTTTCATCTACAAAAAAATATTTGCATAAAATAGTGTTAGTTCTCTGTACATGTCAATGGACACTTTAACTGTGTATAAAAGAGGAATATATTGCCCCCACTGAAGTCAGAAAAAAAGCAAAAAACAAAATCTAGAGTATGAAACCTCCATCACCGGCAAATATGTTCATGTGAAAATTCAGCAGAAATAGACAGTTGCTCTAAACAATAAAAAAATTGATTAAGTTAAACTTTTTCTTTGAATGTAAAACTGTCGCCATGTCAGTCAAGACCAGAACATATCACTAAAGTTAGTGTCTGTGCTGTAAAGCCAGATAACCAGGGGCATAGTAATGAACACAAACGGCCAGGAAACTCCTTCGGTGCATGCTGACAAAGAACATGGTTTGGTGGCAGGCCGCACACTATCTTTACCAGGTTCCAGGTAGTTACGGGCCACATATTTAAGTGTTTCGTCCAGCAGAATGACAGGTAGTGAGATTTTCAACACCATCAGCCACTGTGTCACATTCAGAGGTGTGATCTGGAAGATAATCTGAAAGAAGAGCCAAGTGTTACTTTTTTTTCCCCCTCTTCCATCCCTTGCCTGAATCTCCAACAAGTTTTTGCTCTGTCTTTAAGTTTAGAGATGGGTATAAAATACATGCACTTACTGGCAGCGGTTCCACATAAAGGATAAGGAAGTGGAGTGACATGGACAAGCAAATGGCTCCCACCAGCCAGATATTTTCCCACGGGGGCATCCTCATTAAGGACTGATTTTCTGATAAACTGCAACAGAAACATCATACTTGTAAGATTAATAGAGAATTAAATAAACCAGAAAACTAACTGCAAAGAAAGGCAGCATGGTAAATCACAGTTATCCTAGTCATGAAAGGAAGATGCCAAGAAGGGTTTTAAACAGGTTGTATTCACCACCTTTACGCTCTGCTTAGCAAAGGAACCACAGTTCATGCCAGTCTCATTTATTTATGAGAGATTTGGTGCATTCTTCCCATTCTTAACCCAGACTAGCTGTCCTAGTGTATCAGTGTCTGAGGTCCCAGTGCCCCCCACTTCCCTTGAATTTTACTTTTAGTCTGGATATACAAAGGACCACGTACCTGCACCTTGTTAAAGCTCACTCTTTACAGTGTTTCTCTACACACTCAATCTGCTTTTAAGCTATTCTGCATCAAATGTGGGAACCTGACTTTCAGATGTAGAACATTATCTATGCAGGGCCACCACATACACTCATATTCAACATTTATTTGTTTTTAAATTAATCGACCTCGAAGTTATTTGAGGAAAAATACCCTTGACATTGTGCTATTTAGTAGTTTCCATTTATAATCTAGTATTAACTGGCTGAATCCACATTCCCCTAGGGCAAGAAAACTATTTTCCATGTCTTCAATATTCTTATTTTAGTTCTCCTTGATATCACTTTATACCAACATAACAGGGATATAATCTGATTGATGAGGATCAAATTAAAAACGATGGAAAATATTTCAGTTGCTTATGCTTAATAAAATACCAGAGTGAACTGGCATACTTAGAGAAAAAAAAAAAAAAAACCTATGATAAGAGATCAAAAGTTATCTAGGAGAGTAATTTTGTTTGCACTACCAGGATTTGGAAAAGAAACATCATCATTCATTAGTTGAGCCATCCATAAACTAAGAATTAACCTGCAAAAAAAGCTGTAATTTTAGATAAAGTAAGCAGAAGCCCTGATTTCCAACTTGGAAATACTAACCTGTTGAGAGCATTGCACATCTCTATAGTGACAAGAACAGAAAGAGCCATTGTCATTGGATATGGAGACTCAAAAACTACACAGTCGACACCAGAAAAGTCCGGGTTGTCCTCTTTGCACTGCAGAAAATGGCTCTAGAACAGAGTAATGTAACCTCATCACTTCTATGACTTGTAAAGTATTAAATAGGCAATTATGAGGCAAATAGCTTTACAAGAACAAAACTTGTGAATATAGCTTATATAAAACAGTGTTTTTAAACTTCTATCAGCAGAAGTATAAAAACTTCTCTAGATGACATGTACGAAAACTTCTATAAATGACATCCCTAAGTTCTTCAAATTACTTAAAATCTCAGGTATTCCTTCTCTGAACTTTAATATTAAACACTCATGACTAAATTTTACTTTAACTAGTTTGAAAAATAGCAACATTAAGTAACAAATATAAAATGAGTATTTAAAAAAAAAGAAAGAAAGAAAGAAAGAAAAAAAAAACAACAGAAATACCAGCTGAAACACACTCTATTCTTCTTCCCTCATCAGAACTCTGGTAGAAAAAAACAGTTTATTGATCTCTGCTAAGAAATCAAATGTTGTTATAACTCCAAAGGGTGTCCTGTTACAGAGAAAATCTGTGGTAATCGGAAGCTTCACACAGTGTTTTTCCCTGGAGCCCAATGTGTCTGTACCCACATTAACATTGTTTACTTCCTGTTAAGTATAAAGGCTACAAAGGCAGCTGGAAAATTTAGGTGACAACTTCTGGTATGAAGACTATGTCTAGATATAGATATGTCTAACTAGACATATCTAGATATAGATATCTACAGATATCTAGATATAGATATGTCTAACTAGATCCTAGCTTTACATTAACACAACACCTTTATTCTTCAAAGGTTATTTTGCTGATCACACCAACTATCCTACAGTGCTTTTCTACTTGAGCGTAAATAAAAATGACAGATTAAGAATAGTTCTACATATGAGCTCAATGCACACATTAACAGCAGGTCTTGGTTCTTCTTCCTCATCCCAGTGCGCGCTTGTCTTTCTCGGCCTCTCCTGAGGATTGGCACATGGACAAGCTAAGATTGCAGTCCTATACTCAGTTCTGCACTGAAAAAAGTATTTCAGCCTGGAATGGGTCAAATGGGAAGAGGCAGTAGACTCAATTTCAAGTACAAGGGGAATACCAGTTCAACAGCACATCTATTTCTAACTTTAAAGACACAAACCCACAAGGAGATCAGACAAATTAGTTTCAAAGATCTCAAAAAAAAAGTCTACATGCCCTAAACTCGCTTAATAAATAAATAAAAAAGCTATTGATACTTACATCCAATAGCTAGGTAACGGAAGAAGAGCCATCCACTGATCAATGGCTCTTTGGGGTTGCGGGGAGGCTTATTCATGATATCAAGATCAGGAGGATTAAAGCCCAGAGCAGTAGCAGGGAGACCATCCGTCACAAGGTTTACCCATAACAGTTGGACAGGAATTAGAGCTTCAGGAAAACCCAGAGCAGCAGTCAAGAAGATGCTATAAGAAAACCCACCAACCAATTATTCTTGTGCATCTAAGTCTTTTTATATCTCAAAACATAAAACCAATTATAATCATCTTGCCACCTACTAAGGGAGAATCACATTGCACATAATTTTCTATTCTGTTGCAATACACTAAAATTCTCCTTTAAATACTACTAAGGCTACACGTATGTGAGCTTCTATGCAAGCAGAATGAATAATCACTTAGAGAACTTGTCTTTCCAGTTTTAGTGAGAAATATTTTAAATTAAAAAAAAAAAAAATCCATCATCACTACTCTAGCACAAGGAAAAGACTGTCTTAAACCTACCAAACAACTTCTCCAACGTTGGAGGAGATCAGGTAACGGATGAATTGTTTCATGTTATTATAAATTGCACGTCCTTCTTCCACAGCAGCTACAATAGTTGAGAAATTATCATCTGCTAAAACCATTTCAGAAGCAGTTTTAGCCACTGCAGTACCAGACCCCATAGCAATTCCAATTTCTGCTTTCTTCAGTGCAGGAGCATCATTGACACCATCACCAGTCTAAAACAAGAATATGAAGTTGAAAAGACAAATATGGACTCTTATATGCAGGACTTGACAGGAGTTTTACACTGGGGGAAAGCAGAAGTAATGTGTTGCTGGAGTGAGATATTTGTCTGACATGGCATAATTTGCTCTCAAGCACAATGCCTGTCTTTTAGCAAGTAAAAGTTCAGTAACTCACCATAGCTGTGATCTCATCAAAAGACTGAAGAAACTCGACAATTTTAGACTTGTGGGAAGGCTCTACACGGGCAAAGCAGCGGGCATGGTGGCAGGCATCTCTCTGGGCAGCTAGTGAGAGCTCATCAAATTCACGACCAGTAAAGGCTTTTGTAGAAACATCTTCGTCTTCCACAAAGATACCAATCCGACGGCAAATGGCTACTGCTGTGCCTTTATTATCACCAGTAATCATGATAACTCTAATGCCAGCTTGTTTACACAGCTTTATAGATGAAGCTACTTCAATTCTTGGAGGATCCAGCATACCCACGCAACCAACAAAGGTCAAGTTGGTCTGAAACAAGAAAGAACAGTTTTAGCACAAAATTCAGTAGTTTTTAATCTGAAACTAATGAAATAATCGTACTACTTGCATGCTAAGTGCAAGTCTTGCACAACAGCATTTCTTTTCCCCTTCTCCCACAATATTCAGGGGTTCTACACTCTGCACCTGGATGCCAATTCCCATGGTGTGACCACACTCTGAAATGGAATAATCTATTTCCAAGTTTCTCTTCCATCAAATAAGCTTGTTTTACTAGTTAACAGGTAATCTAGTCATCAGCCTTGCAGTTCAACCTGCAAATAATCAAGTCCTCTCCCCTTTTCCCCAAGTCAGTGCCAGAAGCACAGCGTACAACGCCAAAATTCCCATGTAACTATTGTCATTTCCCTCCTCTAAATCCTTGATAAAGATCTCATTGGAAAATTACAGAGTAGCTGAGAAGATAATCACGGGCAGAGTTTTTGCAGCTGGCAGTATGGAGGAGGGGAAGCAAGCTTGACCTTCAGAGTACAGACCGACAGTTACATTTCATCACAAAATCCCCAAAGTCTTGCAGTTGAGCAGTGTTAAATTAGAAACCATTAAAGCTGAAATTACAATGCAACTTTAATTTTTCAGGGTCAGTCTCTAAAAACAGTTAAGGTGATATGACCCGAGACAAAAAATTCTCAATGACAAGCTCCTCAAGAAAGGATCAAACATAAGGAGTCACTGTTACCCAGTTTGGGATGGGGGGGAAGTGATAAACGGAGTTTTTAATCAAACTAACCTCATAAGTGATGAAGTTCGAGGAGTCCTCAAGATTCATTTCTTCTTTTCTGGGTGGGTTGTCATGGGTTGCTAGAGCCAAGCAGCGCAGTGTGTCTCTGCCAGTTCCCCACTCTCTAATAACAGACATTATTTTCTGCTTAATTCCTGATGTTAAAGGTATCTTAGCATTTCCAACACGGACATGCGTACATCTGTCAATCACACCTTCAGGGGCACCCTGCAAAGACAAAAAAGTTGTAACTTGTAACTTTGCCTAAGTTTTAAAAACCACTTTCTATCATACCGTATTTGCTCACATAATCCATCCTTAAGCTGCAGTTAGCTTTGCCTGGGCAGCCATTTCATAACTGCACTTCTCACACGTGCATCTTACCTTAACAAACATCTTGCTCATGGATGTGCGGCTTGGTTTGTTCGGTGTGCAATAGACAGACATTGATTTCCTGTCTCTTGAGAACTCCAGAGTGAACTCTTTCTTCATAAGTTGTTTTATCACCTGATGAAGAAACAACAGCATAACAGTACATTGAGACTATATATACACCATAACTGCTGCCTCAATAAATTCCAAATAAAAAGAACACTGACCGAGTTGCAAGCATTTGCACGTTCAATTCTAGAAAGTCCTTTCAAGTCGGTGTCAAACACATTCATTTTCTCAACCAGACAGGTAAGTGCCGTCTCTGTCGCTTCACCAACTTTTTCATATACGCCCTTAGCCTTTAGTTAACACAAAACAAATCACACACAAAAAACCCCACAGGAGTTTACTTTAAATTTCACCACAGACATATTGGAGACAAAAGTTCAAGTTTCACAATGAAAAAAAGTGCTTAACAAGCCTTACTACAGTTTATGAAAGCTATTTTTGAAAAGCAACTTTGGAGTGTACAGTTTATATGAAGCTTCAAGCCTTTCCTCTTAAGGGCAGCAAATAAGGATGGCAGCGTCTTATCATGAATTAAGTGATGATGATACATAGAAATATTAAGGAGGCAAGGCAATGAAATAGCTGTGCATTCTACACAGCATCTCCAAGTTTCAGATTACTCTTGTGTAAGAGCTAAGGTTTCTCAGTGTTAAACAAGCAAGTTATTCCTGTAAGTAGTACTTCGGAAGACCCCAGTATTCTCTGGGGAGCATAAAATTTACTACTGAAAGTTGCTACCTAGACAGGTGGGAGTATTTATCCTCATTTTCACACTCTTCTATTCTGATAAATATACATACTTCATTGTAATCCAAAGAGGAATCATTACAGAGTGCACAGATCGTTGCAAGTTCCACAAGGCCATCGTATTGGCTACATTTAATAAGTTTGTCATCTTTATGCCTGTTCAAAAGAAGGAAAAGGAGAAGATTTGAAAGTCAGTTACCTACCATCAGTATCTCACCTCCTTCCCCTTTTTAATTCCAGTATTGTATTTTCATTTAATACAACATTTATTAATTATGGACTTGACACAACAGAAATCACCAGAGAATTTCCCTGCCTTGAAAAAGAACATGCTCCTATTAGAAATCACTGAGAAGAGTTGATTCTGTAAAGGTGAAACTTGAGTTTAGGGCAAACAGGTATAAACAGAATTATATGATTATCAATGCAATCAATACTTGACTTTCAAAACCATATTTCTTACAGTGACAATTATATAATAATGGAGAAGAGAAGCAAACAGCTTAGCAAATGAAGACATGAAAGCAGCATTAAGAGCATGTAGGGAGAGTAGAATTCCAAGAAGACGGATATAGCTGGATAAATTAGGACTCTAATTTACTGTTACATATGAATTAGACAAGCAAAAAAGCAGATTTGGCATTTTTCATTTCTCAAAGATTAATCTGTACTATATAAGAACCTTCTAAACCAATGAAAAGCTAAGCCAGTTCAAAATACAATTTGCTCTACAATTGAATTATTACTCTCTTCTGGTAGTCATAGACATCTAATGATAAATATCTGAACTCTTGGAGAGAAGGAACATACATTTTCTCAAGATAACACACCTCTTAAAAACCACAGATAAGCTAAGAAATCATTTCTTTCACCTTTTGAAATACGGTTTGATAAATGAGTAAATTTTTTGGAACATCAATATAGAGTAGCATGAAAGAACTGAAACTTACAGTTTTTAAAATTTGTATTTCAAATGCTTCTTTGAAGACAAAGTTATGTATCAAGTGCTTTAACAGTAAGTGAAATTCATTGTTAACCAGACGTATACGAAGACAAGCCTCCGTCAGGAACTGTGTACATTTACAAGTCTTCCTTTTGAGCAGTGCAACAAGCTAGATGACCTCTTACGGTCAGTTACAAGCTTTGTTTTCAGTGACAGTTTGTAACCCAAGGTGAAGTCAGTCACTATGAAATCCTGATAAAGTCGGTTATAGAAAAAATACCATCCATAAACACTGAAATCCATCAGTGTTTTAGCCTTGAAGGCTCGAGTGTTTAGCTGTTCATTTTTCTAATGCTCCAAAACAGCCTAACGAACATTCTGTGCAAATTACCTTATGTACGTAAATGCAGTGCTATAAACACACTTTTTCACATTTCCCATTTTCAGGAAGTAAAATAGAACATTAACATATACTGATGACTATCTTATTACACTTGACATCTGTCACTATGCTTTATTGTATTATTTTGTTTACCTAGAGTCCTTACAAGACCAGCTAGAGCATAATAGCTGGACACATTACAAGATCTAGAATGTCATCTTGCTAAATAAATTCTCTCTCCCGAAATGAAAGTGTAAGCTTTGACAGCAATTAGCTTGGAAAAGACAACAACAACAGACTCGTGGAGTAAAAATTTCCATCTGCTGGGAATACTGTGGTCTTAACTGCTATGGAAATTAAACAAAGATAATCACTATTGAGACTGGCAAAGACTGCATGAAGTCAGAGGTAGGCATGTGAAACTCTGGAAGGTTGAGATGTTTACAATAATGGAATCCATTCTAGCTTCACATGCACAGGAGAACTAGGTTCTCCTGCTGCAAGCAGGACTGTAAAATTCCTAAATCTGTCAGACAAACCACCCATCCCATTAGGAAGAGACCTGCAACTGAGAAAGTAGAACATGAATGTATCTTTCCCAGGTGAAAGTGAGTGTATTAGCAGAAACTTGCAGTACATTAAAATAACTAAATTTTAGCCAAAAGATTTCCCTCTGGTTGAGAAACTTACCTTCATAAGCAACATGCATCACTTTCCAAATCTATAACGATAGTCAATGGATAAAGAGATAACTAACTTCAACAAAACACTTACACTTCTCCCATTGGAGCGTATGTCGAACCTGTTACAGTAAATTCATTCAGAGAACAGCTATCTCCTTCTACTCGGTCCAGGACAAACATCTGAAATGGAAGTGAGAAGTGTTACTGCCTTTGAATAATATTTAATGGAAGACATTTAAACAGGCTTAATTTTAAGCAAGCAGGTACAAGGAGCAAGTCCTCAAGTTCAATAAGCAAAGTGGACAAAGCAAGATATGATTCTGACCAAATTTCAATCCCATACATATCTGAACAGCTCCCAACACTTAGGCAGGAAGCACTACAGAAAACAGCACTTCAACCGGCCACTAAGTGAAAGCATCTTCTATCTTGGTTTTCTGCTCATAAGCCATCTTGCTATTAGTACAGCTCAAGTGCCCCTATAGCAGAGATCGGAGTGTTATTTTCAAGTGAAGAAAATGCTAATTTGAAGGATGTACCCCCATAAGGCATCAGTATCTCCTAATCTTTCCTTTGTTTCTGTTTGTTCTGTCTCTGAGGAGAGCTGCAGACAGAATCAAATCAGGCAAGACAGAAAAAAAACAAAGCAAACAAACACCAAACCAAACAAAAAACCACAGTGCTTAAGACAGATATTTCATCATGACAAATGGCCACTCTGTTGAGCCATTCAACTTGCTGGAGTGGTAGCAGGAAGAAACAGTGACTAGTGGATAACTGAGAGATGGTATACCTTATCTGAATTTATTACTAGCTTGTTAGTAAAAAAAAAACATTTTGCCTTATGTTTTAGCATGTCTCGTTTTCACTTCATTGTGCTGTCTTATGTCCTGGCCAAACATCTTCACAAAACATAGTCTAATTAAGTGATTAACAATTGATCTGCAGCAGTATCTGGAGACCTCAATCTTCAAAGTGGTTTTAAAAAAAATAAGCTCAAAAAATAAAGCAGCAGTTAAATTAAAAACCCACAAAGCAGCACCACAGCACTCTGAGCAGAGGCAAACATCACAGAAGGACATTGAAGACAAGTCTTCACCCGAAAAAGGGTCACTCAACAGCAATGTTTTAGTCTAGGGTTCCTTTCGACACTTATGAGTGGATACTTAACATTAACAAAAGTTAGAACTGTAGTATAATAATACTGTTGCAGAAAAGACTACTTGAAAAGTTAGTCTTTCTGCTTAATGTGAAACCAAGGGTAAGTGTATTGCTTATGCACATAAGGATTTTGCTACTTTTAGCAAACTCATATGATTAAAGTTATTACATAGTTACTGCAGATATCAGGGACATAAGTAAACTGTACTGCACCAGAGCTAAAAATCATTTGGTCCTTTAAATTTAAGCAATAGAGTATTTTAAGCTTTTAAATAAACAGATCTGAAGGTTTTTAAATGAGAGCTAACAAGGAAGCTGGCTGCCTTTGGCATCTGTGTGATGAAAAAAATCCCTGCAAAGACTAGGGCAGTTATGCAACTCTACTGCAAGTACCCTCCTCTAGAATACTGATGAGCAGCTGCTTTGTGTTTCTTAGGTATAAATACTACAATACTTAAGCAGAACAAGCCAACCACCAATTAAAAAGAAGTCATCAATCATGTGAGAATAAAGTGTTCATGACAAACTTATGCCAGAAGCAGTGGTCTGTTGTGGTCAACATTTACACATTCGGAATTCTAGCCCCATGTAATGTTTCTGAATGAACATTTAATGTCATAGAGTTTCTATGCTGCTGATCATCCACCTATTATTCAACTGAAGGAATTTTATGGAGAAAACATTAAGTTCTACACTGAACATTAAGTGAATGGGAAGCACAGAAAACAAGTGGCAGAACATGCACCATGTCAAGTGCCCAGCTATATACACAGCTCCCAAATTAATCACCACTAGAAAGAATATTGGAGGTAAGGGAGAAAAGGCAAGGGAAGAGGCACAGGACTGTTACGCTGACCTAAAAATAAGCCATACACTGAAGACAACCCTGGCAATGCATGTGGTGGTGTCAACTGCACCTCCAAATTACCATATTAGTCATCCAATATTACATGTTGAAAACATTAGTGATCTACATCAGAGCAATAAAAGCTACTGAAGATAAGATAGCTAAACAAAAGTGCAGCTGTTCAGCAGTGAGAATAACCTTAGACACCCAATTCTAGCAAAGCTTCCACCCTTTTCTTGCTGCTAAGGTTCTCCACCACTGAAACATGGCAGTGAAGAAAAACTGTGTGAAAGAGCCCCAAATGGAAATTACACTCAATATAATGCTGTTTTTCATGCCCCCAAAGCTATGGAAAGCTTGAGAGGGAATGGGAAGATTGTTCCAAACTGAACTAAAACAAAAGGAAGACTTTACAGCATCATCTTAATATGTAAAGAGGTGAAAGTGCTCTATACTCACACATCCTTTCTATAACACAACCTATCTTACCTTTCTAAAGCAGTGGACAAATCATACTAAATAATAAGCATTAGACTAAATGGCTTATAGACAACCAATAGAAAACTGCTTGCCACCAACTTTTCCTTTTATCAAGTGTGGGTACAGCTATTTTTAGCCATGACTAAATAAGGGAAAAGATAAAAGTCTCAAACACTACACAGTGGAAAACTGAATTAAAAGTGGAGGCTTATCTTAGAAAAATAAAGCAAGATTTTGATGATATGAGAATCAAAAACTCATGACTAAAAGAATTCGAGCAATGCTTCAGTGTGGCTGGGAAGAAAAAGAAAAGCAGAGCGAGTCAACTCTACGTACCCTACAAACTGACATCTGATTCGTGGTCAGAGTACCAGTCTTGTCAGAACAAATAACTGAGGTGCACCCCAAGGTTTCCACCGAGGGAAGACTTCGAACAATCGCATTCTTCTTGGCCATTCTGCGGGTCCCAAGAGCCAAGCAGGTGGTAATGACAGCAGGCAGACCCTCAGGAATAGCAGCAACAGCAAGAGCTACAGCAATTTTAAAGTAATAGATAGCACCTCGAATCCAGGAGCCACCATGAACTGGATCGTTGAAGTGACCAATGTTTATTATCCAAACAGCAATGCAGATCAGCGAGATGACTTTAGACAGCTGCTCTCCAAACTCATCCAGTTTCTGTTGGAGTGGAGTTCTCTCTTGCTCAGTAGCCACCATCTCATCACGAATTTTGCCAATTTCTGTGTTTACTCCTGTTGCAATAACGACTCCCATAGCTTTACCAGCAGCAATGTTAGTACCCTGAAGTAAATCAAGGAGAAGGGAGAAAGAAAACTTCAGTGAATCTGTAAACATTGGCTTTCAACAGGTCTACTCCAGATCCTGAGATTAATCACAACTTCGTCTCAGCAGAAAGCATCAGACATTATCTCTTATTCAGACTAATTTGTGCCTATCTCAACAATCATTCTTTCAAAACTTGGAAAAAGAACAGTAAAGGAGCTTTAGTCCTTAAAAAGGCATCGTTAAACTCCATTTTCTTTTCTATTTTAATCCCTCACTATTAAGAGGGAATACAATACCTTAACATGATTGGTTAAATGGAATAACAGAACAAAGTTACCAGAGCGAAGAAATCAATAATTAAATATCCCACTGCAATAGTAAGGCTTGGGTGCCTGCAAAACTCGTATTATCCTGCTGCGCACTGCATCAGTTGGTCTAATAAAAACAAACTCTTTGCCCCTCCACAAATTTCACCATTCTAAAGAGTTCTTAAGTATTGCTTTTAATTAAGAGTTCTTAAACCTTTCAGAATTTTTTTTTTGAAAATACGCACATTAAGCATTCTCATATTTGTAACAATAGTTGGCCTCAAACAGCCTCCCTCAAAATGCCTGCTTTTTTAGAAAGCTAACCTTTATTGAGACAGCAGGTTGAAAGTCGGAGTTCACAGGAAGCCACTGGTGTGGCTACTACACTAAGTCTACAACACATCTCTTAATGAACGAATCCTCATGCAAGCAGAAATCAGAGACCAAGATCCAGCTAGGATATGCAAAAACAGGAGACCGGGAGGAATGTCATTCCCCCAGTATTTGCAAGACGCACTCAAAACACTAGCATACATTTTCTATTTAAAGAATGGGCTCATCAAAATGAGACAGTATTGACCTATTATATGCAGCAGCAGACTAAGGCCAGCAGCTGAGCAAGCAGAACGCATTTCTACAGGAATAAAGACTTTTTAAAAAAATTCTGGTAAAATACAAACCTAATAAGGGTATCTACTAGGGGTAACAGTTGTGTTCTGGGGACTCCTTGAATGAACATTCTTAACATGAGCAAGAGCAAACAGATTTTCTACAAGGTATTTACCAGCAATAAGCAAATTCTTTTAATATCTGAAGATATCTTGTTTTAAATGCTCAAAAACACATAACTTACAGAGAAAAGCATATTCTTCTTGTCTTGGTTCACAGCACGAGGATCAGGCACAGGGTCAGTATGTTTAATAACAGATACAGATTCACCTGAAATTAAGATACAGTTAAGAAAATATTATACACATTTCTTTTCACTTCACTACAGAACGAGATAATACCATCTTCCACCCCCCCCAAAAAAAAACAACAAAAAAAACTGTTTGGAGACACAAGTAACGGTAAATAGTCTGGAAACAAAGAACTATTTCTGAGGCAGAGGGAGGAGGGCTACATTACTTGAGTCTAAGCTACCAAAACAGGCAGACAGATCTTGGAGCTCCAGCTGACAGAACGCTTGTAGCATGCTTGCTCCTTAGTTTCTTTCCTACGTTTACAAGCAGTGTGAGGTTGCTTTGTTTTCAACAAATCTGAAAAGTGCTCTAAATATAGCTCATGTATTCCAGAGCTAGTACCACAAAACACATGAATGTGTAGAGAATTTCAGCAAATAGGGCTTTAGTGTATTCAGTCGTTAACAGCAACTCAAAAGCTGCCTTCTTTCCGAATGTTATCCATTTCTGTCTCACAAGAAAAAATAAAAACCATTAGAGAAGGCAAAATTCTGTTAATAAATTTCCATATTTTCATATCTGACCAGCAACAAGTTGTTCAGATCTAGAAGACTTTATAACTAGAAATCAAATTTAAATTCCTCAACTTACTAGTGTCTCTCTTATAAAAATGCACCAAAAAAGCATGTCAGTAAGAACGTTCCTCCCATGAAACTGAGTTTACAAAGCCAATGACCAAGAAAAATGCAACTACTTTATGATTCAAGTTACCAGATTAGAGGCGTACTGTACTTGAATGTCAAACATTGAATAGCTACAGGCTCGTTCCTAAGGGACAATTCCAAACAAACAGTGAAAAGGCATTTTCAAATATGTGCATAATTTCCTCCGCCCACTCCCCCCAAAAAAATTACCTGTGAGAATTGACTGGTCTACCCTTAGAGTGGTAGATTTGATGGAAGTAATTCTTATATCAGCAGGGACCTTGTCTCCAACTACAAGGAAACAATTAAGGGAAAGTTAAAATGTAGTTATTTGAAAGCTTTCAAACTAGATATAACATTAACTCTTTCAGTCACGAAAATGATTTTCCAGTAACGGTTCAGTCAAGTAAGATTCCTAACAGCTTCTTTTGGGGATTGCAGTAATTTACTTGCATGAGTGTCCAAGGTTGCTTAGGCTTTTTAGACCTGCCTTCAAGAGCAATTCCCCAACCTAACCTCAAAAAAGAAACCATAAATCGGGCTCTCGCTTTTATATCACATGGCTACCATTTGATAGCAAGGGGAAAATATTCTCAAGATAAAGATACCAATTTCAGAATGCATACTGAAAAAAAAAAAAAATCCTTTTCAGAAACGATTGCCCTGACAAACCTCCTACTGTTTCCTTTGTGCCAAATGTGACAGCCAGCCTTCTGCTGTCCAAAGATCAGAAATTCTCTTGTATTTTGTTTATTTACTTTTAGACTAAAAAAAGTTGAACTTTCTTCCTCTTTGGCCCCAATTGAGAGAATAACGTGCTTGCACAAGACTCATGTTTTATTCCTATTATTCTAAAATACATAGCACTATTCAGAGATTTGGAAGCTGAGTTCCAATCATACATTACCTTTATTTTCAGTAATGCTACTCACAGTCCAAATCCCAGTTAAAATGTTGGCAGAACTCTATGCTACATGTATCTTATGACATTTACTTCTACTTTGTAGAACAGCAAGAACACAGAGGAAAGAACCCTCTTCGCCTAAGCAAGTGTTCAAGCTGCTTCTCAGCACCAGGGCAGCAGCCAGAACAAGAAGGTGACAGGAGGCTCCTCAAAATGGCAGAGAGTTCAGAGAATTTGTTGCTGTGCAGACAGTTTTAATGTAGCACTTTTATCATCACTGAGTTAACTCTTCCACCTTTCTAGTCTCCTTTTCCTGGTTTATAAGAAAAGCAATAGAGGAACTAAAGCTCCATACCAAATATATGCTTACTCATAAACAACTACACAGGAGTTTCTACACCCAACAACATCCATATTTTTAACAAACGTGTATAATTTTATTCCTAAAATGAATTTAACTGTGCAAGTATCTAGGCATCAACTCCACTTCTATTATGAAATAATGCATACAAAGGAGAGAGAATATTTCGATGGCTATTAAGACCTGATCTCATCAGTAGATAGACTCTAATTTGTCCCGGCACTAAAATGAAAACAAGCTGCAATTCCTGCAGGAACTGCTTATGCAATGATCAGCAACAATGCACATTATTTGTTAATGCCATGAGAATGTCAGGAGCAGTGCTACAACCCTGGAACACATAACCACCCGGACTGTAAAATTATAGAACAGAAAGCTAGAAGGGAGCATTAAGTGATTTTCAAGTAAACTTGCTCTCTGCAACTTTTCCTGAGGCCCCAAAAAGCTTCAACCAAGCTTCATCAACAAAATTAGTAAAAGATCAAGTAGTTTGGCTGCAGGGTTTATACATATCTTCTTGCAACCATTACGTATACGGAGGGGGTCCAATGAACAGCCACAAATTCCCTTTTTGTATCATTATAGCATGTGAAAACTAATTTAAGCCACAATGCCCTTGAGCAGCAAGAGAAAATAGCATTAGACAAACAGTGACCTAGGCCAAAAATGGGAAAACTATTCAATACGCTCTTGTGATGTCGCGAGGAGGTTTTATGTAGACATATAATAGCAGCTGGTTTTCAGCTATCACTGAACAACAGGCTAATACCTCAGCGCAATGTGGTGTAAGGCCTGTCAGTCTCAATGTATGCATTTTTGCCATACTTTTATCAACTGGAAGACTACAGCCATCTCAAATTTACTGCTACATTTGACAAGACTATGTGAAAGACTTAATCACTTTACAATGCACAAGAGAAGCTATGAATAAATACCGCAAAACATTCAAGTAACTGCCCACACCATAGGAGAAAGTTTGCAAAAGTCATCTTTTATTATACTGCTTTCAAATAGTGATGAATTGCTCAAGTGTGAGATTAAACATTAAAAAGCTGAAGTGTCAGGAGCTAGCTGTGTTCTAGCAGGCTATTGACAGCTAAGTGACAGTATTTCCTTGAAAGTTACTTGTAATCACTACAAATTGTCCAAAGCAGCAGAATAGATGTTAAATTTGTCACAATACTGCAGCTTTCAAGTTTATCTCAAGAATTTGAGACGTGTGTGTTCCCTTGCATCTCCCATTTAAAAGGCTCTAAGAAAATATTCAAGACATTTCCAACGGGCTGGAGAGCTTTGCAGCAAGGTCAACTGCAAAACTATTTTGAGTCTTTCTTCTCAAGTTCAAAGCTCCCCATATCTTACCTTATTCCTCCTTGTTTTATGGCAGTATTACAGCTCAATTGCCACTCTATGTTTGCATTCGTTTACACTTACATTCAATTTTAAGCCAAGAACAATCTTATTTAATCAAAGGAGCGTGCCTAAATTGAAACGTGCACCTCAAGGGTGCATGAAATGCAGAAATGACTCCAGTAGCTTAAGGACTAGTCTTTTTTTCAGCAAAATGTTTCAAACCTTGAAATGTGTGTACTGGCACTACTTTAATCAGTCACTTTGGAATTGTCTGAAAACAGACTGCTGTCTAACACCATGTTAGGCAGCAAGATCCTCAGTCAATTTCTTAAGTGCTGGTTAGGCCAAGAATATACTGGTTTAAAACCAATTGATTTATTGTGCCCAAGTGCTAGACTAGAATCACCAATTCATTACTTAGATAATGTACGACAGCATTGATAACATACCCTTTAGGTTCAACAGTTTCCAAGACAGCAGTAATACTAAACATTTGTTTGCAGAATTCCCCATCCCAAACCACGAATCTTTGGGGGGGGGAAAACACACACACAAAAAAACCTCTAGAGCAGAAATGCACTAGGTCAAAACACTTTTATTTAACCTTCCTAGGAAGCTAAGCAGTGATTGGGCACTTTTTCCATGAACACTGAAGCTGGAAGGTAAACTATTAAAGTTCTTTGATTCTCATTCCCTGCTATGTTTTCAGCTGCAGCTAAAAGTTAACAAAGATCTTCAGATGACTCCAAGACAACCATGCCACTCCTCCGAGCCTCAACGGATGTTAACAGATCGCCTAACGAAAGTCACGGATGAGAGCAGACTCAGCCAGCAGCACTAGTGTTACCGCTGAAGAGTCATTCTGATGTACAAGAGCCTCCAAAACAAAAACCACTGCTTCAAATGTGTACTTTGGACATTGTTATCAGCTCTGTTAACTAGCTGATCCCTCCTACAACTGAAAACTTGCTAAGAGCAGCTCTGTAGACTTAGGTACACTATTGAAGAGGGTTTTTTCCCCTTTAACTTGAAGCAAATTCACTTCTTTGTAATGGAAGTGACCTTTTTGCAAAGAACAATCACACTTATTAATAGTAGTTGTTTCCATATAGAAGTCAGAAACGTTGGTCAAGTACAGCTTGTATCTAGCACTTTCTCAATTATGTTTAACATTAACCAAAGTTAACATGGGCAATAATTGCTATCTGTAACATTGCGTGGCAGCGGGGGGAGGCGGCAACGGTAGAAAAGGAAGGTGCAACTGGACTTCTGAATAAAGTTCAGCCTCACAGCTCTGAAGTGGTATGCCACTAGGGCTGCTCTTTGCAAGACTTTTCAGGCAAGTTCTGAAGAACTGAATACTTTTTCCATACAAAGATTTGGGAATAAAACTTCTTGAGAGTGAGTGAAAACATTCCCCAAAGAACAGCTTCCGTATATCTTATGGAGATTGCAAAAACAGACATGAATTTGTTCCCCGTTCTTAAAATACCTGAATATATTAAGGTTTCTTGTTAAAAACATTCTATGTATTTTAATTCTTAAGACTACATTCTTTCTCCTTTCTAGGATTTGCATCCTTGCCTAGAGTTGGAGCATCTTATCAAATTCGGCACAGGTAACATACTACCATGCTCTTAAATCATTGGTCTAAAATGTTAACCATTCTAATGTTTATCATTAAAGAAGAAAGATGCATTAATTCTTTTGCTAGAGCTTTAAGTTATCAATTAGTCTGCAGATTCTCCAACATTACATATTATTATGGATACAGTTATTTAAGCTATTTTCCCTAATGAGATCATGATTTCTTTAGCCTCTTCAAGAGCTCAAATCCCCCTTCCTTCCCAGAACTGAGTTTCTCACCTTCCAGAAAAAACAGGGGGGCATTTACTAATAAACTGGTTTTGCAACTAAGGCTGCTAAAACCCAAGCAACTGAAATGAAAAGCTACATTAAAAGCCCTATGGCAAGAGTTAACACTTCTCAAAATACTGAAATGAGGAGGAATAAGCAACAAATATAGCATCCTACATATCTATCTCTAAGCACTTTGATCAACCAGAAAAGAGCACTGCTTCCACTGGGGGACAGTGACTAAAATGCACACCTGAACATGAGTAAAAATACATGGACTGCTTCTATTTAAAAGATATTTAATCCAGCACAGAAGTTTTTGATATTAAGCTTCCTTAATGTGGGCTGAGCTTTGGTCCTCTTTCCTTTTCACATACATGCACCCTAGCCTTGCTATGTCTTCATACCATCAGACATCATAATTTTCCTTCTGCCATCACAAATGTTAAGTATTGATTATTTCCTCTTTAGGAAATGTGGCAAGTGCTTTAGGTTGCTAGACTAAAGCATAGGACAGTAAAATCTTCCCACTGAAGCAGGAGCCCTACTTTCAAATTAAGAGTTTGGATAACACAGGAATAAACAGCAAGTATTTTACAGTGCAATATAGCTCCTTACCACCTTTCCTCCTTCCTCTCCAAAAAGAAAAGCTTGCCTTCCCAGGGTGATATGGTATTAACAGAACATTATCTTTATGCTCAAGCATCTTGCTCAGCACTATTTGTGCTGATAACAAATCCCCACTGAATTATCAGTTCTATTCAGAGAATATAACAACAGGTACGTTGTGAATCCCAACAATGAAAGTAGAATTAG